GCCATATTTGAACCTGTTGCCCGAACTTGCTTTTTCAGTATGCTGTTTCTGGGGTGCTTGCCCTTGATAACTGTTTTGTTTATCACCTGGACCTTTGGTTTTAGTTAGAATATTTACATTTTCTTGATGGCTGCTATCTCCAGCAGCCACTGTCTCTTCTAAATCAGAGATATTTTCTTCTGTCATGGTGGGAAAACCAGGTTTATTGCTGTTTTCACCATCCCTTTTGGGGTTGAGTTGGTCAGTGAGTTCTGGGGTTTGTTCTTTTGGCCAAGAATTCTTATTACAACATGAAATAATACTTTTAATAATAGCTTCCTCTTCAAAACTGTTGGCATTTGAGATCTCTGGGAGGGTTTCGCAATCAATGCCTTGACCTCGTAAGAACGGCTCTTTGGAAAGATGATGAAGTAAAATATCAGAAATGCTTGACTTAGAAGCATCTCCTTCATTTGCTGGAATATGAAGAGCTGCAGTGCATTGTTTCTCTTTCTCATCTTTTTTGTTGGCAGCATTTTCAGTAGTTTTACCCAGGGGCATGGTCATAGCTGTATTTCCACAAGTCTCATTATGCATAGCCTCCTCTTGAGGGTCATCTGCTATGAAAATAATTTGACTTGAGACTTCAAAGGCATCATTTTTTGAGGTAAAACTGTAATCATTGCATATCTTAATCAGAGAGAGGTCCCCATCATAAGGCAAATCCTCCTGCTTATAAGTCGTGTCTTCTGAAAAGTCAGCCTCATCCATGTGTGTGCAGCCCGATCTCTCTCGTCCTCTGCCGCCTGAGCTGGCTGCTGTCAATTGTAACAATAGCTCTGGTTCTCACTGACTGTCTTCACTGTGCGCTATTCTGTGTGAAATGAGAACAGCCTCATTGTTAAATATATTGGAATAATGTATACAACTATGCCAGAACAAAGTGGATGTTTTTTAATTAGAAAAACTCAGTTACAAACAGGAAGGCAGAAAGCTCAGCCACAAGCTGACCCATCCTCAATCCACACTATCTTAACACAATCAGTAGTATCAAAGCAAGGAATGGGAGAAAAAAAAAAGGGAGAGTGTTACATTTTTCATCTATTAAATTTTGAGAGAGACATGAGTCTACAGTTAATGGCCAAATATTTATCAACCTCTGTTAGGAGATACTATTTGGAGTTTATTCTCCCAAAGTAGGAACTTGGGATGCAAGTAAAGGATTGATTTTTTTTTTAACTACCAGAGCCACGCCTTGTCCACATGTCACTGACAGTCTTCTAAGACGTATAGCGCTGGAAGCCGGCCTAGCTCACATGTAACACCCATCTTCTCCATTCTGGTGCTTTTTCACCTGTCCCTCCAGACCTTCTGGTCCCCTTCTGACTTTCCCTTGCATGTCTGAGAAGGGCAGAGAAGGACTTACAGAAATATGACCAAAGGGTCAGGCATGGTGCCTCACACCTGTAATCCCAGCACTTTGGGAGGCCGAGGCAAGCGGATCACCTGAGGTCAGGAGTTCAAGACCAGCTTGGCCACCATGGTGAAACTCCGTCTGTACTAAAAATACAAAAAGTTAGTTGGGTGTAGTGGCGCACACCTGTAGTCCCAGCTACTCGGGAGGCTGAGGCAGGAGAATTGCTTGAATCTGGGAGGCAGAGGTTGCAGTGAGCCAAGATCAAGCCACTGCACTCCAGCCTGGGTGACAGAGAGAGACTCTGTCTCAAAAAAAAGAAAAAAAAAAAAAAGAAATGTGACCAAGGGACAAATAGGCTTTCAGACACCTGGAGGCCAGTCTGCAGCCAAATGTCCCTTTTCTAATTTGGACTCAGGCAGGAACCTAGTCAGAGAGGCTGCCTTCCCTGAACCCCTGCCAGCCACCACAGCCCACGCGGCAGTCTGGTGGTACCAGAGTCTTTGGGGATATTCCTGAAAATGGCTGGAGTAAAACCAGCTGCCATTTGGTATGAGTCCTATTTTCTCTTCTTTAAACAAAATTCAAAGCACCCATTCATATATCTCTTCCTGATTTGTGAACTTTTGGGATGATTCCTCAGAAACAGTAAAATTATCTCAAGTTTTAGGTGGAGTAACTGAGGTTCCCTCTCCCCTGGGGCACCAGGGTGACCACAGCCGCTGGCAGCCTCCCTTGCCCATACAATGATTAGGTTGGGTGAGCAGATCTCTGAGGTTCTCTCTCCAACCAAATTTTTATGAGTCTATAAACTGGTGATTTATTAGGTAACCTCAAAAGCTAAAATCATATGTTTGACCAAAATAAATTTTTTTTGAACTAAGTCGTCCAAGAAAAAAAGGAGTACAAACTAAATGTGGTAGAAACATCTGCGAGACATTGTACAAAAATCTTAATTTATAGACACATGCCAATGTTAGAGAATCCAAATTAAACAGATGCTCTGTTTAGACAGGTGGAGAGAAAGGAGAATATCACTGCAGGATTATTTAAAATCATTTAAAGAGGGTAATATTTAGTATAAAGTGAGGCACATCTTCGTGAAAAGAATTACAGGCTACTCTAACCCAAGTTGAAGAACAAGGGAAAAGGCTTCCCAAGAAAGTGAACGGCACAGTGGGAAAGCAGAAGCAGAGAGGCATGGATGTGAATTCTCTGGCTTCTCTACTTTCTAGCTGTGTGTCATCTGGCAAGTTATTTAACTTTTGTGAGTCTCGGTTGGTTGCCTTTTCTGAGAAATAGGACTAGCAATACCTGAGATAAGGCACGTAAAGTACTCGGCATAGGGCTTGGCACAGAGTGAGAATTCCATACATTGTTGTTGAAAAATGAAAACACAAAACCAGTCTCAGTATTGGAATACTGAAGAATGCCCAGGTCCAGGGGTGAGGCACTCCTTATCTGTGGGGATATTTGAAGGATAAAGGAAGGAATTGCATATGTAAAACATAATCTCGGCCAAGAAAGGTGGCTCATGCCTGTAATCCCAGCACTTTGGATGGCCAAGGCAGGTGGATCACAAGGTCAAGAGATCGAGACCATCCTGGCCAACATGGCGAAACCCTGTCTCTACTAAAAATACAAAAAATTAGCTGGGCGTGGTGGTGCACACCTGTAGTCCCAGATACTCAGGCTGAAGCAGGAGAATCACTTGAACCCAGGAGGTGGAGGTTGCAGTGAGCCAAGATCACACCACTGTACTCCAGCCTGGTGACAGAGTGAGACTCCATCTCAAAAAAAAAGACATAGTCTCTACAAGAACGTTAAGACAATTTTAAAACTCAACCTGTAAATAAATATATTTGAAGGTAAAAAAAAAATCAGGCCGGGTGAGGTGGCTCACGCCTGTAATCTCAGCACTTTGGGAGGCCGAGGCAGGTGGATCACTTGAGCTCAGTAGTTTGAGACCAACCTGGTCAATGTGGCGAAACTCGTTTCTACTAAAAATACAAAAATTAGTCAGGCATGGTGGTGCACCCCTATAGTCCCAGCTACTCAGGAGGCTGAGGCAGGAGAATCACTTGAACCCGGCAGGCAGAGGTTGCAGTGAGCCGAGATCATGCCACTGCACTCCAGCCTGCGTGACAGCAAGACTCTGTCTCAAAAATATTAAAATAATAATAATAATAATAATCACTAAGCAATTTTAAACAAAATTTTGTCTAATTTTTTAGAACAAAACAAAAACAAAGGGAGTATCTTTTTCTTTTTTTGAGACAAGGTCTCACTCTATCACCCAGGCTGGAGTGCAGTGACACCACCATGGCTCACTGTAGCCTCAACCTCCCAGGCTCAATTGATCTTCCTCCCTTAGCCTCCTGAGTAGCTGGGACTACAGGCACACACCACCACACCTGATTAATTTTTAATTTTTTTTTGTAGAGATGGAGTTTCACCATGTTGTTCAGGATGGTCTTGAACTCCTGGGCTGAAGTAATCCACCTGCCTCAGCCTCCCAAAGTGCTGGGATTACAGGCACGAGCCACTGTGCCCAGCCTGAGAGTATGTTTAAATGCCTACAGAGAGAATGGAGGAAGAAAACAAATTCTAGTTTTGCAATACTTTTAATGACCCAAGCAACAGCCCCAAAGTTATCCTCATGCTTTCTTTACATTTTCAGGAGCTCATTGCCAAACTCCATAGCCTTCTTGTATAGAAAGGAAAGACACTTTGTTGGCCAAATTCCCACTTTTAAAGTATAATTCCATTAAAACTGATACAATTTGAATTTTGCTCTGGCTCTTAAGAAAAAGAAAAAAAAAGGCCAGGTCCAGTGGCTCATGCCTGTAGTCTCAGCACTTTGGGAGGCCAAAACAGAAGGATTGCTTGAGGACAGGAGTTTGAGAACAGCTTGGGCAACAAAGCAAGACCCTGTCTCTACAAAAAAAAAAAAAAATTAAAAATTAGCCAGGAGTGGTGGTACGTGCCTGTAGTCCCAGCAACTTGGGAGGCTGAGATGGAGGATCAATTGAGCCCAGGAGGTCAAGGCTGCAGTGAGCAGAGATCACACCACTGCACTCCAGCCTGGGTGACAGAGCAAGACCCTGTCTCTCTGTCTCTGTCTGTCTGTCTGTCTGTCTCTCTCTCTCACACACACACACACACACGCACAGAGAGAGAGAGAGAGAGAGAGAGAGAGAAAGGAAAAGAAAGAGTGAGATACCATCAAGATAAACCAGAAGCCTGAGGAACACTCTCGTTACATACAGGAAAACAGCTTCTGTTGTTGTTATTATTTGTGTGTGTGCATGCAAAATATCAAGAGGATTTTTCTGGAAAAGGACAGTCCATACCCTTAGCATTGTAATGAGCTTGTTTCAGATGGCTTGAGGAACTGGAGCATCTTCCCATGTCAACACTTGAAATCCAAAGGCACACCCAAAGAGGTTCCGGTCAGAATCCAACAGAACCTTTCTGTAGAATCCAATTTGATTTTCTGAAGTCAGGTGACTACATTTGGGGCCACGCCTGCTTATGCAGCTATCCTGGCCATTATGTGCTCAGCAATACCTCACAAGTCACTCTGAGATGAACACTTTGAGCAAACAGGGCCAGGACATCATAGTGACCCAGGCTGTGAAAACACTTCAGGCCAGTCCCTGAGTAGAATGAACAACAAGGTAGTCACCATGCTGACAGCTATTCCCTGTGTGATTTACTTTATCATGAAGTCTAAATTTGATGCTGAAGTGCTAGCCTAAGCTCACTAACCTGCCAACTTAGAGAAGAAGGTAACCATGGCTAGGATGACTGGGAATCTGATGGACTCAATTAAGAATTTCTACAGATGGGAAAACCAAACTCCTTACTGGCAAGAGGCCAAAGGTGGTCTGCAAATTGTTGTTTCTGGCTGGTAGGTGACAATTCTTCTATTTACTAAGCCCATTTTGTGATAACACAGTTTTCCATATTGACAGGATTGTTTTAATCACCAAAGGAAAACCGTGGGGCCATGTTCCTGTTACAATCTCTTTATCTCATTCCCAACACCCTCTGTTCTGTGTTTAAACCTCTACAAACCAGGCAAACTGGGGACGATGTGTAGGACCCAGACATGGAGGAGAAAGCAGGCATTGTTTCTACTCACCCTGCTCTGCCCCTCCACTAAAGTACCAGTTAGCACAGCCACATAACACTCACAAGTCCTACACTTCTAAGATCAGCCCTACCGACTTTGTCATGGTAAGAGTTGGCTGTTGGAGGCAATGATTCAACAACCTGAATTCTGATTATTCCTTTTTGTATCTGTCATTTAGAATGTGAATAGTGTACAGCTAAAAGCTTTAAGTACATTATCCATCAATAATTTGTGCTGCACAAAGCAATATGCTGCTCTGTCTTCAAACAACACAATGCTACAGTCAACAGAAAGAGGCAAAACCATGGTAATATGGCAATTGCAATAGAAACTCACCAACAACTTGGAGGCTCTGGATATCACAGGGTGAACAAGTTGAATGGCCTTGCGACACAGACAAGCAATCCTTTAAATCGTCTTTTTTTCAACAGTTGGAAGTTGACTGCAGTTGAATAACAGAACAAAAATGGAGCTTCAAAATCATGGCATGCCTGCTTCTTCTGGATTCTTTTAACTGCAAGAAATCAGCTTTGAAGACCACATAGGGAACTTCTGATGTGATACAAACTTTTGTCTTTTTTTTTTTTTTGTCTTTTAAGAGCATTCAAAAACACTTGGTCTGGCTGTTTCAATTTTCTCTTTCTCTCCTTCTATTCCTAGCTCGAGAATTCTATTTACATATGAAAGAAAATAGGAGATGGCTCAGAATAATATGTCCAAAGCCACGCCCAGGGGTCAGGGATTCATGAATTTTGTATCCAGTGTATGGTGTTTCTAGATTAAAATATTTTCAAAGGTAAGGTGATATAGACTCCTTCTGTAATGACTGCATTTGATTACGCTCTGGTAATTCTATCAGCTAACTTTATCTCAGAAATGTGGGGTACCCACAATGCAGTGCCTCAGCTGTAACCATATACCATTCAGTGAGGCCGTCTGGCTTCACTCTGTCATTGTGGGTGGCAGAAGGGAGACACTGTGATGGGCAACAAGTCAATCCAATACTCCTACAAGAGCCAGATGGATGTATTATTTATAGTCAGTTTCAGTGACGTCATCCTTTTGGGAGTGCACATGAGTTTGATGACCAGCTGTTACAAATTTGTTATCCCAAAACGATTTTAGAAGGTGGGGGGAAGGGAGAAAAGCCTTTTAAAAGTATGAGTAAAGCAATATTTGGAGAAACTTCCTGCCCGTGTTTTACCAGAAAACTTTACTGGTTTTCCTCGGACTTTGATGAGGTTAGCACCGTCTTTTTATCCAATTTTCCCATTGACGTAGCCTAGTTTGTGCTGTAAACCACGGACCTTTGCTGTGCTTTGGAAACATTTAGAAAACTCTTACCAATTGATTTGCTGAAAATAATTCCAGTGATAAACTTTAAAACACACTGATTTAAAGAAGTATAATTTCTTTTTCTTTTTCTTTTTTTGAGACGGAGTCTCACTCTGTCGCCAGGCTGGAGTACAGTGTCGCAACCTGGGCTCACTGCAACCTCCGCCTCCCGGGTTCAAGTGATTCTCCTGCCTCAGCCTCCCGAGTAGCTGGAACTACAGGCACGTGCCACCAAGCCCAGCTGATTTTTGTATTTTTAGTAGAGACAGGGTTTCGCCATGTTGGCCAGGATGGTCTTGATCTCTTGACCTCATAACCCGCCTGCCTTGGCCTCCCAAAGTGCTGGCATTACAGGAGTGAGCCACCATGCCCAGCCAAAGAAGTATAATTTTTAAATTTTATTTATTTATTTATTTTTTAAAGATAGAGTCTTGTTGTGTCACCCAGGCTGGAGTGCAGTGGCATGATTATGGCTCACTGCAGTCTCTACCTCCTGGGCTCAAGCAATCCTCCCGGCTCAGCCTCCTGAGTAGCTGGGACCACAGGCACATACCACTACACCTGGCTAATTTTTTTTTTTCTTTTTTGTAGAGACAGGGTCATGCTATGTTGCCCAGGCTCATCTTAAACTACTGGGTTCAAGCGATCCTCCTCCTCGGCCTCCCAAAGTGATGTGATTACAGGCATGAGCCACCATACCCAGCCTCGAATAAGTATAATTTGTTTTTCATCTTGTCCCTGAAAATTCTCTGCCCTTCCCTAAACTTTCAAACTTAAGTTTTGCAACCTCTGCCTGGAGATAAGAACAGCCAGAATATTTTATGAAAACCCTTCCTCCCTTAACCAAAGACTTATGCTTCTCTCCTCTGCCCTCCTCCCCCTGCCTAAAGGAAGAACACTGACTTGTAATTATATATTTTTTTAAATAATGAATACAAGGTTAAATATATTGCACATGATACCTAATCTATGCTCCTCAAAATGATTTCGAAAAGTTAGGATTTGGATTAAGTTTATTTTTATATTAGAAGAAATATCTGTAGGATGAATCTCAAAACCTGTGGTAGGATTACAGGTAACTTTTATTTTCTCATTAGAACTATTCCTTCATTTATTAAACAAATATTTATTGAGTGTACCTGTTGGGCATACAGTACCACGCTAGGTCCTGGAATCAAAAGGAAATATAGAGAACAGTTAGGTGTGTGGACTTCGGTGCCAGAGTGAGTTTGTAGTTAGGCTCTGCTACTCATTAGTTGTGCTATCTTAGAGAAGTTACTTCTCTATTCCTTAGTTCGTTCATCTGTAAAATGGGGGTATTAATAGCACTACCACATAGGGTTGTTGTGAAGAGTATGTGAGTTGCTGTTTAAAGCAACATTTACATAGCACAATGCACCTGATGCTATTCTAATCACTTTCCAAATATTCATTAACCGAGTGCAAAGGATTTAGCACATTGTATATTATTATAAATGGTGATAAGTGCTATGAATGATAGGAAGAGACTTCTGGAAGAAAGAATATAAGAAAGACTATAAACCTTTCTTGAGAACGGATAGGCAGGGAAGGGCTCTCCAAGGCCATGCATTTCAAGCTGGAGCCTGAAGGACACAAACCAACCACGCAGAGAGTTGGGGCAGAGCGTTCTGGGCTGAGGGGACATGTGTGCAAAGACCTGAGGATGGAAAATAACATTGTTTATTGGGAAAGCTGAAAGGAACTAGCATGGTGGTGGCAGAGATGAAATAAGTTGATGTGTTCAAGACATAAGACGTTTTTAAGTAACAATCAACAAAACCTGGCAATGTGCTTGTGAAGGCAGGGGAGAATTTAATCAGGACCCCTTGTCATGCTTTCTTGTATTTTTCCAAGTATTTTAGAATAAAGATCACTCAAATCAATAATAAAAAAAAAGACCCCAAAGAACAAAAGACATGAATTAAGAGAAAAAAAGATATACAAATATACATGGTGCTTAAACATATGAAAAGATGATTACCTTTGTTAGAGCATGTTCTATGTTTTAAACATATTTGTAGGCCGGGTGTGGTGGCTTATGCCTATAATCCCAGCACTTTGGGAGGCTAAGGTGGGAGGATCCTTTGAGGCCAGGAGTTCAAGACTAGCCTGGCCAACATGATGAGACCCCGTCTCTACTAAAAATGCAAAAACTAGCTGGGCATGGTGACGTGTGCCTGTAATCCCAACTATTCGGGAGGCTGAGGCACGAGAATCACTTAAACCTATTTATTTATTTATTTATGTATTTATTTATTTATTTTTGAGACAGGGCCTTCCTCTGTTGCCCAGGCTGGAGTACAGTGCCATCATTGTAGCTCACTGCAGCTTCAACCTCCAGTGCTCAAGCGATCCTCCTGCCTCAACCTCCCAAATAGCTGGGACTACAGGTTCCTGCCACAGCACCCAGCTAATTTTTTTTTAAATTTTTTGTAGAGGTGGGGTCTCACTTTGTTTGCCAAGCTGGCCTTGACCTCCTGCGCTCAAGCAATCCTCCTGCCTCAGCCTCCCAAAGTGCTGGAATTACAGGCATGAGCCACTGCACCCAGCCTATGCCTACTTTAGCTTTAATGCATGCATAAGGTTTAGAACAGTGCCTGACACATAATGTCTTGATACATGCTAGCTTTAAAAACTTATTAACCATTGTGTAAAATACCTCTCTCAGTATTTCACAATTTTAGCTTTTTTGTATGTTTTTATATGAGATGAGAATTTGAAATGTAAATCTGTTATAAGTTGTGGCATGGTAGAAAAACAATAGCTATCAATACTTCCCTAACCCCTTTCTTGTAAAAAGCACAAAGCTCTTTGCATAGTCATAAGTTAGAGCCCCCAGCACGATTATGAAGTAAATATTACCTGATCCAATGCTGCAATGCCAATTTTTACTAGACAGTATTAAGATACCAGAAGTGACAACCATATGAAAGGTAAATAATCAACGTTTAGCCTTTTATGATAGGCTTGTGTAGGCTTCATAAGCGTTAATTAACTAAAACTCACAACACTTAGGTGAGGTATTTCTTTACCCTCTCAAGCAGTGTCATTATCTCAGAGAAGGAAACTAGGTACAAGGTTAAACAACTTAGGACAGGAAACAATTATCTGCTCAAAAATAACAGCGCTTTGCCTCTAAATAACACTTTTCGACCAACAGTATCCAGTCACATTGCAAACTCTAATTAAACACTCTCAGGGACTTAAGTATCTCTAACCTTGTGGAACAGATTGAAGGAGAGGAGGCAGTTTAGCTAAAATTATACAGCAGGCCACTAGCAGCCAGGATTTAATCCCTTGGAATCAGGTGTGAGGTGGGATTAAAAGCCGACTGTGTGGTAGGTGCTTTGTGTGTATCTCTTCAGTCCTTTCCACAGCCCCCAAAGTAAGTATCATTGCTTCTTTAAGATGAGGACTGAGGACACGGTGGTTCATGCCTGTAATTCTAGCTCTTTGGGAGGACAAGGCGGGCAGATCACTTAAGGACAAAAGTTTGAGACCAGCCTGGCCAACATGGTGAAATCCTGTCTCTACTAAAAATACAAAAAAAAAAAAAAAATTAAGCTGGACATGGGGCATGGTGGCATGCAGCTGTCGTCCTAGCTGCTCGGGAGGCTGAGGCACAAGAATCACTTGAGCCTAGGAGGCAGCGGTTGCAGTGAGCTGAGAGCGTGCCACTGCACTCCAGCCTGGGTGACAGAGTGAGACCCGGACTCAAAAAAAAAAAAAAAAAAGATAACTGAGCTCAGAGGAACAGAGCTAGGATAGGTCATCCAAAGCCAACGTGCTTCTGCTCCCGTAAGACCGCATGTCACAAACAGGAAGAAGAAATAGAAGCAGTCAGACTCATCAGTGTTGTTGTTGTTGTTGTTTTAATAAGATTGGTTATTGTTTTAGATTCATATTGCTTCTATAACAAATTGTTAAGGAACAAAATTTCAACAAATTGATTTCAAAGATCTTATTGGCTTTTATTGGCACTTCATGAATCAGACAGCATACCATCTATGAAATAGAAAGGCTCTTCAATGAGCTAAGCAGAGAGGCTGGGCTTTACAGGCAGAAAAGGCTAAAGTAAGCAGAAATAAGGAACAAGGACCCATAAGCAGATTGATTGTTTCAAAGTGACTTCAAGCAGAGGGGATTTCCTTATCATGCCTGATCAAGTTGACTGGGCCCCATTAGGTTGGTTGCTATGAATTTCCTGTTTTTTTAGGAAACTGACCCATTTCTAAGTTCAGTTTGGTTATGTGGCCC